TAATTGCGTACGAATAAGGCATTAGGGACTTTATTATTGCTAAGACTCATACTGTACTTGAACTTCAACATGTACTGTTTTGTTGCTAAGTAAGTATAGGGCCACGTGTACGGATATATTCTGATTTCTGATTCTGATCTGATATAAGACAATTAAACTGCTTCTACAAAATGTAGCAAGAAATGCTGCTTTTCTCTTTAAACGAAATGCCCCCTGATGCTCACGTCAAGCATTAAAAAAGCATGCATATTTTTTCATAGGTAAAATGACAATAATGAAACTTAGGACCCATAGTGTCCCTACCAAAGTGGAAATCAAACCTACGCCCTTGAAATCAGCTCTCTTGTTTTAATCACCTTCTGCTCTTCCATTAATGAAATAGCATCACTGGGGACCCTTTGAACACATAAAAAGTCGTCTTATTCCATCATTTTCCTCCAATTCCTCCAAAACAATTCAAATCTTTGTCAGTGAGTGCTCTCACATCTCTTCCCTTTGTGGTGCCCTTTAAGATTAAGATCCAAAATTCTGAGATTAAAGTCAGAATTCTGACTTTTTTCCAATATTAAACTGAAATAATATATAAAAATCAGTTTGTTTGTTTTTTTCAATGATCCTAATCGTCTTCCGTAAGAATCAGAGGATGACTTGATTGATTTGTTAACTTTTAGACGTTTTTTTTTTTTGTGTGGGAAACTTTTAAGGATGCTCTAGAGAATCTGACTGTTGAAAACAGGAAGTGGAAATCTAAATTTAGGGCACAGAGTTGCAGTTTGAGCTCTTCATCATGGCTACAGCAGCCTGTTTATCCCTCAGAGACAGACGACAGCAGAAGATGCAGATCGAGGCCTGACTGATGTGACGTCTGATGTGAAGCTGCTGTGAGGAGCCGTCAGGAAGCAGCAGATAAATTTATCATACCTTTCATGCTGTTGAACATTGTGACTTTTTCACCTTTCCTCCCGGCGACAAGATCCATGCATATTAGACAGGCATAAAAAACACAAGCGCTGCATCGAATGATGACATAAACTCTAAACGTGAAAGCTAAATAATCCAATAGAGCTCAGCTGAAGCTCTGGTTCCCAGCATGCAACATGTCAAACATCATGATGTTTCACAATCTGAACTCAAAACCACCTCGGAAAACCCAGAAAAAACAAGTTTATCCGAACAAACTCTGGATTTCATTAACTTTGGTGAATTCAGTTCAGTTTATTTCTATAGTGACAATTCAGAACACAGTCTAGGGTGACTAGATGTCCTCTTTTTCCTGGACATGTCCTACTTTTCAGACCTAAAAAAATGTCCTGGGGGAATTTAAAAATCGTCCAGGATTTTGGTCGACTACAGAGCAACACGTAGTGGAAACAGGGAGCCAGCGAGGGACGGAGCGACCAAACCTGACTCTATTTTGTTGGTTTCAAAATAAAAAAAAAGAACAAATGAATGAATGACAGTTGGATTCTGAAGGAGCCTTGCTCCAGGGCACATGTGCGCCTTATTTTGATAGGATATGAAGTTTAGAATTAAAACAGAATTTATCCTAAGAAAACGTATCAGGACTTGAGTTTGTGACTCGTACTCGAGTCGCACTTAAGTCTCATATTTAATGACTTCAGACTCGACTGAGACTCGTGATTCCGACTTGTGAACAATATTTTATTTCTAAGTGTTTTTTGTTTTACTAACTTGACCGATCGCCGCTCGCCTTACCCGCACACAGCAGAGGTAAAAAGTAATAATAAAAAAAACGGCAGAGGGGCTGTCAAACTGACATCACTGACGCAACGCTACGTGACATATACGCCCGCGCGCCCGCTGCTAAAACTATAACTTTATGCTCTAAATTTAAAGTATTTATATAATCCATTTATATGCTTCTATTTATTATTACTATTTGTACTTTTATTTAATTACTTTTTTTTTTTATTTTGCTCAAACCCCTGGTGATTGTTCATTGCAAATTGTTTATTTTTCTGTATTGTTAAACGTTTTCTAAAAAAGTTTATTAGAAAAAAAAAAGACAAAGAAAAGAAATATGCCGCTTGTACGGAAGAGGATTAGGGCCACTGAAAAAAAAAACTAAAAGTTAACTGATTTTTACATTTTATATCAGTTTAACATGGGAAAAAGTCAGAATTCTGACTTTTTTCTCAGAATTCTGAGATTAAAGTCAGAATTCTGACTTTTTTCTCAGAATTCTGAGTTTTTTCTCAGAATTCTGATTTTAATCTCAGAATTCTGACTTTTTTTCTCAGAATTCTGACTTTTTTCTCAGAATTCTGACTTTTTTCTCAGAATTCTGA